ACAATCTTTACACGCAGAAGGTAAAGGAAACCTTTAAGATGCTGCATACGGTAACCGCTCCCGATGTCACTTGGGACGAAGTAGAGCGGATAATCAAGAATATTAAGAGCGGCAGATGTCCTAGCAGGGAGGGCATAAAGTCGGAGCATCCTAAAAGTCAGGAGGAATGATTCCGTTCAAAGCCCGTGAAGAATGATTCACAGAGTACTTCAGATTAACGACGCCAGAAATATGGAACAGCTCTTCGGTGATTCTTCTATTCAAGAAAGGCCATGCTGAAGACCTCTAAAATAATCAACCTATCACTCTCCTGTCACAAATCTACAAAGTTTTCATTTGAATCATCTTCAACTGCATCCAAAAAGACCTGAAACCTCTCACTAGTAAAAAACAAACTCATTTCCCAAGAGGATTCTCTACCACAGGTCAAATAGGCGCCGTGAAGACGGTAACAGACAAATGCAAAGAATATCAATTGTCCCTCTGCCATGCATTCATCGACTCAAAAAAGCGTTCGATTCCATCGAGCTGAAAACCTTGTACGACTACAGTATCAACATTGTATACGTCGACCTGATCAATTAACTGAATACTGACACCTCAACCAATATCAAGTTGCTCGAGGAAGCGTATCAAATCAACATCAGAAGAGGAATAAACATGGAGTCAACGTTTCTCTTAAGCTTTCACTACAACGCTGAAATACCTCTTTAACCGCAGAACTGGGGCAGCCGCATTAGCATCTACAGAAAACGGCACGCATATTCACTTTCCGCAGATGACGATCATCGCGCCAAGCACCCGGCGGAACTCCAAACAAAGATTGTGCAATTACAGAACGAGTGATGAGCCATCGGCCTAAAGATGAACATCTCAAAGACGAAACGAATGTGCAAAGAGCACTATTCCGTGAGTAGCAACTTCATTGACAGCGAAAAAATGGAATAAGCTTCTAGCTAGGTATACCTCAACCATACAGAAGACTATAATAACAATATAAACGAGACAAGTTCAGCAGAAGGAAAGCAGCATGGAATAGTTTCAACCACATCAAAACAGCTGAGCCGGATAACGAAGTGCTCATGTCCAGGAAGAGCTGTTTCGCTCCGCTGTCGCATCCGCCATGCCTAACGGCGCGAAGTGCCGGTCTGCCATCACGACTGAGAAAAAGCAACTAGTAGTAACGCAAAAGGTGATGAAAACAAGAATATGCTTGGTCTCCCTTCGAGATCATGTTGCAACTGCGACAGTTCAGTCTCGGACACGACTTCTAGATGTACTCACTACCGTCTAAAACTAAGAGATGATGGGCTGGCCATGTAGCTCACCTGAAAAACAACAAGTGACATCCAGAGTTATCAAATGGATCCCTCTCGGCAAACTGACGTCCATTCCGTGGTCTATCAAGAATGACCCAATGACGAAGCTAACTGGTCAGCGGCGGAGCAGAGAGCAAAAACCGAGAAAAGTCCTGGAAGGCCA